ATAACCAACAGCAGCAGTGTAGCAGATCAATTCTCAGAACCAAAATACATTAACATTCAGAACCAAATACATTAACATTGTCATACCCATTACCATGCTAAAATCTTCCAAAAGTTGAGAACTGTTTTTTTTTCCAGCAAAGTTTTGATCATGTTGATAATGTAAAGGCATTTGCATATCAAATATGATACAGTAGGCTTTATAGGGTTAAGTACACACTGCGGGCATCTCCCACACAAGGTGCTTTTGTAATGAATGACATGGTGGGATCAACAACAAAAATGTGCCATCTAGCTGAAGCTATTATCTACTGATGAGGTCCATCATGGCATGGCAGCCAAACATTAAAGAGATTAAAAGAGATAATTGCAGCGTTATCTCAAAATATGACAGTTTAATGGTTGAAAATAAAAAAGCAAACAGAACGTAAATGAGCAAAAGCGAAGTTTAATGTGTCCCTGGATGACAAAGAGCAATATTGGCCATTTCAGAAAGTGAGTCATAAAGAGGCCGTCCTCTGAGACACATACACTCAGAAAGATGAGTTCAATTTTCAACTACGATGACATTGCTAAACTACTAGTCATAAGCGTGAAGAAAGCTCTTGCATATTGCATATTTCAGTTTCTATTAAATTATCAAGAATATTATGTTAATATTCTGAGCTCTATAACGCTAAATCCATATTTTAATTTGAATCTGTCATTGTTAAAACATTACATGCTCCTGCTAGGTGGTATAAATAAATACGACCGCATTCATCAATATGCAAATAATATGCAGATTTATTTTAGATTAACATCAGACACCCACAAGTTCATCAGCACTCTGTCAGACAGTGTGATATTAACTCTATGAATGTGGGTGTCTATGAACTTTTCCGCAGAGATAAACATAAAAACAGCACATCTAAAACTTAATTCGGGTACCTTAACTGATTATCACTGAAGATCAAAGATGACATCAAGAAATTATGAGTCATTTTGTCTTTATTAGGATTTGGAGTATTTGGTGACCTCACACTGAAACTGAATATGGTTCAGAGTAATTTAAGATTACCTGATAGTATTAGGTAGTACTTATTTTGTTCTTTCAGGAAGTAATCGATACAAAACAGCACTGTGGTGGTATCATTGTACAGTGATCTATATACAGATTGTAATATCATGGCGATATCTTGATTGAAATGAGATAGTAGGGGCTGAAACATACAAACTTGGATATTTCCACCTAAAATGGGTTTATTCATTGCTTAGTTTGACTTTAAAGAAAACTAAAATGGCAATGCTGCAGCAAGGGAAGTGGGTTGCTGGACTAACAAGTCGCTTCATCTCAATTCTAGAGCTAATGAGATCTAGATTGTAGGAAACTGACAAGAGGAAAGACAATAAGAGGGGACCAAAGCATTAATATACAGAAAACATAAAAGCTCAATGTACACAGACAGCATCTATTCTCAATGTAAATGCACATTGCAAAATAGCAAGTACTCAGTTAAAACCCTAGCTGGACAAAATTTAACAAATTTGAATAAATCTGGGTAGAAAAAGCGCTTCAACAGGCACACAGACTCTTTGTTGATGTGTTCATTAATTCTCTCTCTAGACACAATCGGCTGAAGTGGCTGTTGCCTGTTTTTCCAGCGTTATCTGTGTGGAAGTGCTTGCAAATGCACTGATGCAGAGCACGACCAGCCTCTTTCAGCCAGCCAGTGCTCACGTGGCCCAGCTGAGCACAGAGGTGATGGCATTACATAATCAACTGCACACACAGCTCTCAATCAACATAAAATAAATATAAAAATAAATGTATGTGTGCACATTAAAAATGTTACAGCATGGTATAGAATGGAACAGCATATGTAGTACACCATGGTGTTTTTAAGGCTAAAGATGAAAGAAAGAAATAAGATGCTGTCTGAATCCACATTTAATATGAAAAGTGTGTGTGTGTGTGTGTGTGTGTGTGTGGTGTGGTGTAGGGCAGACCAGCTCTGCAGTGTTTGGTAAAGAGAGCACGAACACAAACATCTTAAGGGCTTATTGTGGAGCCAAACTGGGGCAGACTTTCTGCTTCAAGCATCTTCATGTCTCTGTAGAGTTGGTACAGAGAAGTGTCTGTTTTCAACACATCAGCATTTTTTAGGGCAGGTAAGGTGCAGGGTAATACAAGATCAAGAAAGTGCTTGGGTTTAAACTCGGAGTTTATGCCACTTTATGTAACTTAAAACATCACGTCAGACTTCTCTAATACTTTTCTAGCTAGTGGGGGTCTTTTGAGACTTGTTTAACTTTGTGTCGTGCACATGTTTATGAGATTGAAACAGGCTTATCGCCTCAAAAATTCAGGCAAAACATGTTTAATACATTGTGGCGTATCTAGGAGCCCCATCGACGCTAAGGTTAATTGTGTGTTAATAAGCACAATGGAATAACTACGGTTGTCCTTATCAATGATAGCAATTCACCTTATCTGTGAGAACTGAATAAAATTGCAAGAGGTATGAATATGAACTTCAGTTAAACTACTCCTCAAATATTCCTAATTCAATTTGCACTATATCAAATTACCAGATGAAAATATCCTTTAGTGAAACAAAAGGGCTAGTCAGGAGCATTTAAAAATAGAACTGAATGAAGATAAATATCTACAGTATACTGGTCATTTTGCCTTTGGAAAATAGTGTGACAACAAATAGTATTATATACTGCAGTAGAGAAAGTGACTGCAAATTACATAGTTAACGCTGTGCTTATCCAGTGTTAAAGATGATGATAAATAATGATTGGTCTGCAGATGTGTTATGTGCTGCTTAAAGAGGTCCTGCAATGGCATTCAGTGCCTCTGCTCTTGTCCCACTTTACGGCTCTCAATAATTCAGGCCACAGAAACTATACATAGAGCTACCACACCACCGTCAATAATGCACAAGAAGAAAAAGTCAACAACAACAGCCTTAAGAGTTGAACACCATAGAGACAGCAACTCAAAGAAGTAACCAAGAGCAGCAGACTACAGAGGGCTGGTAAAGATATTACCAAGATGCATATATAAACACACCAATAAATATGTTAGGGTTTTCAATTTAAAATGTAATTATTTTTAATGAAACTTTTAATATTTTTATTCAGCCTGGATGCATTAAATTAATAAAAAGTGACAGTAAAGACAGTAAAAGCAGTACAACGATTTTCAACATTGATAATAATAAGAAATGTTTAAAAATCAGCATATTAGAATGATTTCTGAAGGTTCAAGTGACACTGAAAACTGAAGTAATGTCTGCTGAAAATTCAGCTTTGTCATCATAAGAATAAGTCTTTTCAATAGTATTATTTTAGTTTTACTGATTTTTACTGTATGTTTGAGCATTTATATGATTAAAGCTAATCTAATTTCTTGAGATTAAATCACAAATATTATTAGGAAAAAATGCCATTAATGTACAGGTATTTTTAAAAATATATTAATATACAAATTAGTGTGCGCTGGTATACATAAACAAACATACAAATTAATAAACCAGATTTAACTGTTGAAAGATATACATTAGTTTGCCATTGGTCCTACAGTGAGACAATTGGCTAATAGATGCTAATGATGACCTTCTCCGGACTGAAAGATGATCAGAGAGCTCTAACCTTGTCCAGTCAATGGTTTGAGCTGAATTGTGATTGAAAACCACTCTCAGCTTGCACATAGCATCCCCTTAGCCATATACATCACACCGGACCACCAGAGATGAGAAGTGTGGAGGTGTTTTCATGTAGAGACAGGTGATGGATGTGAAGCCACATGGTCATTTCTCCCAAGCCTTCCTCTGTCTGCCATCACATTATCAATCACTTGACCAATTTCCTTATTTCAGTGTTAAATTCCATCTATACTGGTACTGACACACTCTTCAGCTGAGAAATGGGTCAAAACAAATGAAATGATAATCTACCAATCAGCAGGTAGAACAATCCTGCAATGCTATTTATGTACTGTACTGTATATTAAGACAAAAACACAAAATATGTGTTACATGCACTGAATGACTTTAGCTGTAACGCAGGAAGTACCAAATGAGAGCTCCACTTCTGCTTAACTAGATAATCCTGGAGTTTAAACACAGATCAGTACTGCAAGAGGAGAGTGCGCGCGCACACACACACACACAAACAGAGGGTCTTCAGAGTGCAGCGTCCAGCTGTGTTAGTGCACTCATGGGGTGTGATGCATTGGCCTGATTTAGGGCGTTTAGCTGGATCTCTCTCGCTCATGAACAAACAGATTACGTTATCATCACTGCTGTAGTATTTGTGATCTGAGAGCCATGTTGTGTAGAACTGTTCATGCGATACAAAGTGATATCAGCACACACAGCGACAAAAACAACAAGCATGTCAGAACAGGGGCTCCAATGGTAATATGTGCTTATAGAAGAGCAAAACGCACTTAGAAGAACACACTTCCTTACAGCTACAGCAACATATACAACAACCATTCCACTTTAAAAAAAACTCTGATACCAAATATTCCACAACCACCTTCATTAAAAAGCAGAATATTTTCGATCCAGCTATCATTTTATAGTTTCCAAGACTTTTTCAGTTGTTTGTGATTACTGGATAAAGATTAAACATACACCGTTCAAAAGTTTGGGGTCTTTAAGATATTTTAATGTTTTTGACAGAAGGCTGCATCTATTTGATGAAAGTACATAACTTTTATTGTGAAATATTATTAAAGTTTAAAATAACTTTTTATTTTACTATATTACACAATGTAATTTAATCCTGTCCATACTGACCCCAAACATTAAATTCTATGAATTTAAGTCTATGATTTTCTAAGACTTGTTTTTCAGTCCCGAAAATCACAACTTTACAAAGATTTTTCAAATCCTTAACAACTTAACCCAACTTTGCTCACTACTTCTAGCCCTCATATCCGACCTCCCACAATACACCTGTCCCCTCACCTTCCTGGTACCTAGCCCAGATGGCAGCGGTTACCTGGTACGGCTCATGCCAGCGGTGCGGATGGCAGCCACACTCTCTCCACAGATCGCAGCTCCCCCCTTTGGCTCGGAGTGCGCTGCGGCTGGGACTCCTCCAGGAGCTCTCGGAGCGTGAAGCCGTGAGTTTGGCCCTCTGCCGGGGCAGGGTGGACATGGACGGCGAGGGCTGGTAGTTGTATCCGTGCTGAGGTTCGTGCTGCCAGCTGCAAGAGCAGGGCGCCTCGCCCTCTCCACGATCACCCACACGGCCATGCATCTCCACACAGCAGCTCTGCTGCTTGCTCAGGTAAGCCGTCATCCCCAATGCGTGTTCCTCTCCTCCTCTCGCCCTGTGTTTCACCTCCCTGTCTCTGAGTTTGCGCTCGGGTGCGGGCGGCAGCAGCAGAGGACGCAGTTGTGGTGAGCGGCACTACTCTGGGCGGTATCTGAGCAGTGTGCTCTCGACAGTTAGAGAGCCAGTGAGAGGGCTCTGTGTGTGTGTGCGCGTCAGAGAGAGAGAGAGGGTGCATGAGAGAGAAAGCTGGCTACTTGTAGACGCTAGACATGTTTTAGTTAGGCAACAACAGGAAGACGGAGAGATGGAGCACAAGAGGGAATAAGACAAGAAAGAGCGGTAGACGAGTGTGTTTGTGTGTATGTGAGAAAGCTCTGTCAATTGATGATTTAACAGGCGGTGTGTCTTGACGGCATCTCTGCTCAAGGCAGAAGCAATCAAACCCTGAACAGCTGGGGACAGAGCTGCCTTCACCCCAAACCCCTCAATCAGACAGACGGATGTCTAACTGACAGCTGCACTTTTTCAACATGATAAAATCATTCAAATGATCTCTTGCAGCAAGCTCAAAGTTCACGAAAAGCTCATAGCTATGCAGAGATATAAGCCACATAGCCTGAAGGCAGACAGAAATGCATAAACAGTACAAATTGAACTAATAAGTGTTCTAAAACCTGCTTAGTATTTGAAAAATCACACGCAGAGTGGTACACTCTTAATAAAGCAGCAGCAATGTCAATATTATAAAAGAAACCAACGTTGCATTAGCCAATACAATGCAATGCATTAGCCAGACTCTTTGCTTTTTAAGGTTACCAAGCAATGCAGCAAACTGGCACATTAATGGCCCTGTCCCATTAATGGACCTGCAGTCTTATGGCCTTTGCTTTTGTACGTCAGAGAAGTCGAAACGCCCAAAGAGTGTCCCATTTGTCATTTTAATCTCAGAAGGACGCTCACGAGCACCACCTTTGTGCCTGCAATGCAGACTTTTTCAGAGCCTTGAATTGTGTGGACTACACAGCAGAACATTACCCAGCAACTATTAACCACGACTTTTGCCTCAATAAACTCCTAATTTGCTGCTTATTAATAGCTGTGCTTTATAATTACTAATAAACAGCCAATATGCTATTAATATGCATTCTAATAAGCAACTAGTTAATAGTGAGAATTGGCTAAAGTTTCTCCAAAGTGTGGAATAGTTAAACTGAACTAGTAAAACTTGATTAAGAATTTAACTGATGTGTGTTATTTTTACTAAAGAAACCAAAATAAATATTTGTAAAAATTCTTATTATAAACTAATTTAAATGCAGTTGTGCTTCTGAAGTTGCTGTTGAACAATAGCTTCTATTTTAATAACATTATTATTATTATATATGCAATAATAATTATTATTATTAAATTAAAATTTTTTCAGCAACAGCTTTAGAGGTAAAACTCCATTTGAAATAATGTATAAATAATAATAGAATTTTTAAATAAGCATATTATTCATATTAATATTATTATTTAAAAAAAGCTATTTTTAGTAACAACTTCAGAGGCAAAACTGCATTTGAAATGATTAAAAACATTAATTAATAAAAATTTATAATTATTATAATTATTAATTATAATAATTGAGAATTAAATGAAATTATTTAAATTAATGAATGAAATGTATAGACAATAATATACATTTTAAATATGAATATTATTATTATTAATAATAATACTATTATTCTTTTTTTAACTGTTTTTAGTTAGTATCAGCTTTAGAGGCAAAACTGCATTTGAAATAAATGAAATTTATTGAAATTTAAAAATAAATCAATTAATAATAATTAATATAATTATTAATTATAATAATTAATAAATACAAACATGCACCCTGTGTAGCAGGCATTTCAAAAGATAATTAATGCAGCAGATTGTCCGTTATTTGCATTTTAAGAATGTACTAAACAAAAGTAAATAAAATTTTGTAATCCATAATTCAACAGCAGACACAAAACAAGGAATAGCAGAGCTATAGCCTGTAGCTTGTGGGTCACTGAGCCTCATTAATTCAATAAGATTTCTATTTATAACCAACCTAGTCACATTTAATCAAAACAAGGGGCTTTATGCTCAGCAACTGATGCTTAACTGCTTAAGTTAAACCATCCAGCTACATCAGAATCAATCCCAGAGTGCTGTACTGAGTTTCTGCTCAACCAGTGTACATTAACCCCACCTACTGGCTACTAGCGCGCAGTACAGCTCAGGGGGGAAAAGCCCATTTATCTTCACAGAAGCATTACCAGTGCTTAATATTTGTTTAGGATTCAGTTTTTTAGCTGTGTGGTTATTCATTCTGCTTTAGTAATCCTCCCTCACATAGTGTCTCCCATCTGGGGGTGAGCTTAGATGAAAATTAATAAAACACACTGGAGGTTGATGATGAAGGCTTTAGTGATTTGTTCAGAATGTGTGGTTGTGTAGGCATTCTAAGTGTCTAAATGCCAGTTAATCATACAGCATTTTGTATAATTAACAATCCCTATGAAGCGTTCAATTCATCTGAACCTACAATTAAGCAAGTTTCTCTCCTCCCACATTCCAATTAAATTCTTGTGACATTTTATATCCCACCTGAAGGGCACACAAACAACATCAAGCTCTACTAATGGGTTTGAACAGAACGTGAATGTATGGTAAAAGAATGATAGTAAAGGAATACTTTTTGACTTTCTGTGTATGGAAAAGAATGGTCAGGATATTCTTCAAAAATAATCATAAAAGCAGTCAACATGACTCATGTGCTAGATTTTACATCCCCTAAAGCCAAGTGATCGAAATTTAAGTAATTATTCACGGAAAACCTCTAATGAAGTCAAATATGATGTAATGTACTGTACTGCATCAACAATTAAATCATTTGATCAGTACCAAAACTATACTTTAACAAAACTGTAGGTTGAAAATGCAAAATAACCTATTTTATAAATAGATGATAACTGGACACCATTCACATGCAATATGTTGATGTCATGTGATACCAATGTAGCATGCAATTGTAAAAAAAAAAAAAAAAAAAAGATAAAAATACAAGGTACACTTAGCCAGCCTCGTACTCTATAAATAGTAAACTAGTGTAGTGTTCCATAGCTAAAAATGCCAATTGGAGGACAGAATTATAATTAGGATAGAATTAAAACACATGAATAATGTAGACTTGAAATGTGTGAGAGAAGTCAGTTAAAAAGTAGCTAAATCAGCCAGTGAGAAAATGTCAGCCATTTCTAATTCCCAAAAGTGTTGTGCGTTTTCCATCACACTTTTAACATGATGACAAACACTACTTATCACTGTCAATGCCTGAAATGATGACAGCCTCAGGATGTGTGTGTGTGAGTTGTATGCCATGTGTCACTGCCAAATGCCAGCAAGCTGTGATACCACGTCACCGAGATAAACCCTTGTATAATACTGTTGAAAATGTCATAAGATGCTGTCAAATTAATTTTCCCACCTTTCAACAGACAGACCATCAAGTGACAGGTGGTCAGCCCTGACATTCACACACGTCGCAGTGCCCACTCAAGCAGCTACACTCACAAGGGCGAGAGAACATGGCACCTATGTGGATGTAATATTAACACAAAAATTGCTGGATATGTCATACACACTGAAAACAACCAGCACATGACAAGCCACCTTAGTTGAGACATTTTCCCACACACTGCTGCACTGTTCATTCACATAAATGCAGATGAAAAGATCAAAACGGTGTCTATTATATGTTAAACAAAATATATTTACATGTATATTGCATATATATTAAGAACTAAATACTATTTACATATATTTTATATGTTGAATTTTTTTTGGATTTTATAATCTTGATTTAATGAATAACTGAAATAACAACAACAATAATAATTAGTGCTGGGCAACGATTAATCGCGATTAATCGTATCCAAAACAAAAGTTTTTTTTTTATATATATGTGTGTGTACTGTGTATATTTATTATGTATATACTTTATAAAGACACACACATACAGTATATATTATAAAACTATTTACATGTATTTACATGGTATATATTTATATTCATATAATTTATATTATACATAAATATATTTAATATATAAACATAACATTTTTCTTAAATTCTTATTCTTAAAAAAAAAAACGTGTGTATTTATATTATACTAGTGCTGTCAAACGATTAATCGCATCCAAAATAAAAGTTTTTGTTTACATAATGTGTGTATACTGTGTATATTTATTATGTATATATGAATACAAACACATGCATGTATATATTTAAGAAAAATATGTTATGTTTATATATTAAATATATTTAT